GGACTCAGGAGGAAGTTTAACTCCAGAGGAAAGTTCTCTTTGTAGAAGAGTTTCTGTTTCTTCACAGTCAGAGGGAAGTTTCCTTGAAGGTGTTGTTGTTTCAGACATTTCCCTGTATGGGTTACCACTCAGATTCGACTGTCCCCAGCTATAAATTGGGGACTGCATTTGCCAGCGGTTTTAAAGCTCCACCTTCTAGCAGTGACCCTCAGGGCCACCTCAGGACCTGGAGGCCACAGTCATTCCCAAGCCTGAGGTTTGAGAGGGAAGAGGCGGCTGTCCAGTTCTCTCGGTGCATTCCGATTCCTCCCCTCTGTGCCCGAGGAGTGTTTGTGCCAGTGGAAATATGGCCCAAGTGTGGGCGTAGACCCTCCTTTCAAACCGCTCCATCCTATTTCTTCACCCGAACCACTCTAAACCTCTCAGTTACGGAGGCCCTCGGGGTGGTTTTCTTGCTCCGGGCCCTGATCTCCCAGTCCCTAACCTCTGAGCAGAAACGGGGTGCAAGAGACCCCACTGGGGAGCAGCCCGTGGGTGATGGCTCATTCCTCTTTATTTTATTCTTTTCCTTTAAAAAATAATATTTATTGATTCTTTTCTTTCAATTTACAAAAGCAATTTATGATCCACTACTGAAAAATTTCCCTAGCTTCCTGCCACCCTATCAAAATCACCCATCCCATTCATTGAAACCCAGAGTTCACATTTTGGCTATGTCCTCTTAAAATCATTGCTTTTCTGTGGATATTCACCTAGTTTTAAAACCTTTTTATTTTGTAATACTTTTAGATTTACAGAAAAGTAATACAGATTTCCCATATACCCTTCAACAAGTTTTCCCTGATGTTTTTTGTTTAGTTGCTAAGTTGTGTCTGAGCCTCTGTGACCCCGCGGTCTATAGCTCGCCAGGCTCCTCTGTCCATGGGATTTCCCAGGCAAGAACACTGGAGTGGGTTGCCATCTCCTTCTCCAGGCGATCTTCCAGACCCAGGGATCCAACCCGTGTCTCCTGCATTGGCAGGTGGATTCTTTACTGCTGAGCCACCAAGGAAGCTCTGATGTTAACACCAGAGTATAATAATCAAAACTGAGAAATTCACACTGGTGGAGTACTATTCACTAACCTGTAGACTTTGTTCAGATTCCACCAGTTTTTCCACTAATGTTCCTTTTCTGTCCCCAATCCAATCCAGGATATCGAATTGCAGTATGTGGGAGCATTGATCTTCATTGTGGGATCCTTAGTTTCAGCTTGTGAACTCTTAATTGTGGCATGTGGGATCCAGTTCCCCAGCTAGGGACTGAACCTGGGCCCCCTGCATTGGGAGCTTGGAGCCATTGGATCACCAGGGAAGTCCCAGTATAAAACCTAATTTTTAATAATGTACACCCTACTGTGCATACTATTTCGTACCCAGCTATTTTTATCAGTAATATATCATAAGCATTTTCCCATTCAATTAAATTCTTCTGTTATTATCATTTTTAATGGCAGCATAATATTCCATTATGTATGAATGTGAGAGTTGGACCATAAAGAAGGCTGAGTGCTGAAGAATTGATGCTTTTGAATTGTGGTGCTGGAGAAGACTCTTGAAAGTTGCTTGGACTGCAAGGAGATTCAATCAGTCAATCCTAAAGGAAATGAACCCTGAATATTCATTGGAGGGACTGAGACTGAAGCTGAAGTTGTAACACTTTGGCCACTTGATTCAAAGAGCCGACTCATTGGAAAAGATCCTGATGTTGGGAAAGATTGAAGGCAAAAGGAGAATAGTCTGGCAGTGGATGAGATGGTTAAATAGCATCACAGACTCAATGGACATGAATCTGCACAAACTTTGGGAGATAGTGAGGGACAGGGAAGTCTGGTGTGCTGCAGTCCTTGGGGTTGCAAAGAGTTGGACACAACTGAGCCACTGAACAACAACAATGTTCCATTGTGTGGATTTGCTATAATTTACCTAGCCAATGGCTCATTAGTCTACATTTAAATTGTTTCTAATTTTTCACTATCATGAAGGATTATGGGATGAACATCTTGTACATACTTCTGATATACATCAGTTCAGTTCAGTCGCTCAGTCGTGTCTGATTCTTTGTGACCCCAGGGACTGCAGCATGCCAGGCTTCCCTGTCCATCACCAACTCCCAGAGCTTGCTCAAACTCATGTCCATTGAGTTGGTGATGCCATCCAACCATCTCATCCTCTGTCGTCCCCTTCTCCTCCCACGTTCAATCTTTCCCAGCATCAGGGTCTTTTCCAGTGAGTCAGTTCTTCACATCAGGTGGCCAAAATATTGAAGTTTCAGCTTCAACATCAGTCCTTCCAATGAATATTCTGGATTGAATTCCTTTAGAATGGACTGGTTGGATCTCCTTGAGGTACATATCTCTAGTTATTTTGACACAAAAGAAATTCCAGAAATCGAATTCTTATGTCCAGAATTCTTGTGTTCCATCCCTCCCCCTTCAAAGTCCACAGTGAAGATTTGGGCCAGTTGGTGGCCTTTATGTTTAAAGAGACTGCTGACCCATCACCCCGAGGCAAACAGGGGAAGAAGCAACGAGCCCTCTCCACCAGGACCACAGCCTTTGGGTGGTGGAGATGGGAAAGCAGGTGGAAACATCAAGGTAACTCTAGGTTCTTCATGGCTTCTCAGCCTTAGTTTTTCAGGCTAACCAGCGCCAGCTGGGTATCTTATCTCTGTAGAAAGAGGAAGACACTTCCTCTGAGCCCAAGGATAATGGGAAGGGGTTGTGGGTGGGGGATGGAGCAGAAGTTGCTAATGCATTTTTGCTTGCATCTTTGGTTTCTCCAATATCCAGCCAGACTATTAGCAGTTCCCCAAGGAATGCCTTGCTCCTCACGTCATCCCCCATTTCCTATAAATGGGAAGTGGCTAGGGAGTAGGGTGTGTGTGTGTGTGTGTGTGTGTGGTGGGGGATGGGGAGCAGAAGACGGGGAAAGGACACGATGGTTTTTCTACAGCTGACTTAGTGGGCCTCTGAAACCCAGGGAAACTGTTACTAATCCAGAACGACCCAGCATCATGCGGGTGGTGTGGATGTTAGGACTTTTCGTTTAGGCTTGGATGTCACTGGCCAGGACTGCCTCTGCCTTGTTTCTGGGGCTCAGAGACTGTGTATGTGAGTGTGGGTATGTAGTAGTAGCAGTAGTAATTGGACTGAGTGATTGCCTCAGTTCATCTGAAAATGGTACCCGTGTCTTGAGTCATCACGAGGAATGGATGAATTTATACGTGAAATACATTTAGAAGGGCAACCGGCACAGTCAGTAAAAGTTGACTGTTATTATATGAGGCTACACCAGCAGAAAAAGGGGAGGGAGCATCTTGCCAGTGGAGGGTCCTCCAATCCCCTGTGCTGGGTGGGGCCTACCGAGTGGGGCCACCTGGCTTGGTAAAGAAGGGCCACTGGCATTGCAGAGGGGTGAGCCAGCACTCATTCACGTGGGCAGACCCTCTGGTGGGGCCCAGGATCTCACAGGACACTGTCAGCTCACTCTCCTGAGCCCTCCTCCCCCTTCCTCCTGCCAGGGCTCAAGGCAGGGCGCAGCAACAGCCAGCTCTCCCAGCAACAGCCAGCGGGGAGGGTGGGCTCCTGCTCCCTCTTGCACCCCCAATGCTCCTCCCCCAAGCCTGGAAAATACCACCATCCACGCTCTCCTGGTTCAGTAATTTTCCAACTGACCTGGAATTCCTCCTGACTGCTGCCCTCTTTTCGGGGCAAGAGGGACACCAGCTCAGGGACTCAGGACTCCACCCGATCTCTCTGCTGGCCACAAATGGGTGTGCCAAAGGCTTTGGAAAGCGACTGCGGCCCTGGAGGGTCACCTGCTGGGAGGCTGGGGGAGAGGTAAGTGTGCCCAGAGAGGCAACTTATTCAGTGATCCAGAGAACTGAGTAGATTCTTGTTTTTTCTCCCTCTCCCCTCTCCTGTGTCCACTCTTCTCCCCACCATCACCAGGGCTCCACTGCTCCTCTCTCCCTTTGAGATTTCCCATTCTTTTCTGCCTTCAATCGGAGGTTCCTTTAGAGACCCTCTGGCCAACTCCTTCTTACCCAGGCTCAGAATATGGGAAAGACTTGTTCCCACATCACACCTGGGTGATGTCAGGGCCAGCCTTGGAGCCCTGTGCCCTGGTGCTAGGTCCATGGCTACAGCCATAGTTGGTCCTCCCCTTCAAAAGCATCTTCCCCCTGATTTTGTAGTATTCAAACCAACAATGCTCATAAATCGGAGTGCTCTCCACTCCATGGAGGAAGACAGACACAACGGGGCCCCCACCCCAAGGGCAGCCTGGGCCCCCAGTTCTCTCCCACCTGCACAGATCATCCTGGAAACAGGCATCTTCTGGGACCTTGCTCAACAGCTGATATAGGGAACATTTTACTGTCAACATATCCTATCCCCGCCCTCCCCTCTTCCCCCATACACACCCTTAAACAGAAAAAAAAAAAAAAATCTGAAATCTTTTAACTTCAGGAAGAGGGACTGAATGAGCCATCAGGAAGCTCTTTCTGCTTCTGAGAACGGCAAACAGTAGGGAGAGTAACTTGGGAGAATGCGACATCTCTTGCAAGGGCTGGTCCTGGGCGGGTGGGGTGCGACTCGGCCCGGGGGACCCGGGACTGGCCTGCATAGCTTGCGCGGGTAATGGCTGCAGACCGGCCGCGGGGAGCGGAGGCGCCCCGGGAAGCCGGGCAGGTTCTACCTAAATGTTTTGGTGGCGAGGGCGGGGGCGAGGGGGCGGCGCACTGCCCTAGGTAATGATAGTCTGGGAGCCACGCGGGGGCTGCCCGTCGCGGTCGCGGCTACAAAGACAGCTCGGAGACCTCCCGCTTTCCTCCCCTGGTGGGTACCGGCCCCACCCCGCCCCCTCCCCGCAGCCCCCCACCTCCGGCCCGCCTCGCCCCGCCCCCTCCGGGCCGCCCCAGCGCGCATGCTCTCTCCCCCCGCCGAGTAACCTGGAGATTTAAAAGCCGCCGGCTGGCGCGCTGGGGGCGGTGGGGGGGGACGAGCCCGCGCGCAGCGGCCCTCGGTGACAGGCGCCCGCCTCGGCCAGGTAGGGGCGCGCCCGCCCCGCTCCGCGGGAAGGGTCCCGGCGCGGGGAGGGGCGCGGTGTGGCCGGGCTCCGCGGCGGCGCGTGTGTTGCGCCCCCGGGGAGGGGGCGGCTCGGTGGCCGTCCGGCGCCCGCGCGCTGGCCCCGCGAGTCCCGGGGGGGTGTGACGGGCTGCAGGCTCCGCGGGCGCGCCCCTCGACCTGCCGCGGGCGGGCTGCGGGGGCCCCCGCGGAGCCGCGCTTTCTCTCTCGCGGAGGCGGGCCGGGCTGGAGCCAGCGCCGGTCCCCCGCGTCCCCGGCCGGCCGGGCGGCGGGGCGGGCGGAGAGAGGCCCCTCCCCGGAGCCCCGGGTCTGGCCGACGGCGGGCGCACCGGCCGCTCTCTCCGGTGGCCTTCTCCCGCGTCAGAGTTTTCTTTGGAAAGTTGCATTTATTTTCTTCCCTTGTCTCAGCTTCGCCGGAAAGGGGCAGGGTGAGTCACCGGGGCGCGAGCGTCCTGGACCTGGGAGCCGAGGAAGGGGCCGACGGCCGGAACGCCGCGGGGTTCTCGGGCGCGGGCGGCTTGCCTGGGGGCAGTGAGGGGTTATTAGGGAGGGAAAGGGGGCTGAGCCCTTTCGCACGTCAGTCTCGGGGCTTGGCTCTGGGCAGAGAGCTGGGCTGCAGTGTGCGCGCCGTTCTGAGCCTCGGTTATCCGTCAGAAGAGGAGGAAAAAGAAAGGGCGTCCTTATCTTCGCCTCTCAGGCTCGAAGGTGCTGAAGATCCTGAGATCAGCCAACCGGTGTGCTGAGGTGGTCCCTGGACACCCGCCACAGTCGCAGGACTCCGGGCTCCCATGGCAGGCCTGCCCGGGAAGGTCCCAGGGAACTGCCGGGTCCCGTGGGTGAGGACCAGCCCTGCCTCTGGTCCCCTGTGGTCCCCGGCGCTGCATCACTGTGCGTTGACCTTGCCCTTGACCCCTGAATCGGTGTCTGCCTTCCTGACCGGTACTCTTGACCTCCTCCGCTTCCCGCCCCACCCCCAAGGGCCACACCTCCCTGTCTTTTTCCCCCAGGGGCCACACTCGAGGGTACGGAAGGGTTTGGCCCGGTGGGTACCTGGTGCAGACTTGTTCTTCAGCTGTAACACAGACCCCATCCCGGCGAAGCTGTCGTCTGCAGCTGGCTGCAGTCCTAGAGTGACCCTTGCTGGGCTCCAGAAAGCGTTGCTCGGGGGCTTGGTGAGGTCCTGGGCGGCTTCTGACTGCCTTTCTGGGCGCACTTCAGAGTGGGGCAGCCTTGGTGTTGGACGCCCCTGCGCGGAGGCCGGCGGCAGGCGGGAGCGTGGGGGTGGGGAGGGCAGCGCCGGGAAGTGTAGGCTGCTGATTGCCCCAGCCTTCCCTACAGAGCAACTTCTTCCAGTGTGAGATTGCAAAGTTATTTGAGATCACAGCCAACAGATGCGGGTCTCATCCTCCCATTCGTCCCTTATCTCCTCCCACCAGGCTTGTTCGAAACCAGGACTCTGTTGTTCTAACTAAAAGCGCTCAGAAAAATAGAACTTGAGTCCACAGGATGAATCTGAAGGTAAAAATACAGCTGTGGACGTTCAGGCCCTGTTTTAGTGCAGGCTGTTGGGGTGGGAGTTTTCCTCTCTGCTCGTGGAGTGTGTCCCTCCTGGCTCTGAGGTGTCCTGCAGGAGGATGAGGAGCTGCACGGTGATCCTCGGTGGCCACTGAGATACCTCCAGGCCGCTGGGTGCTGGAGGGATGGCATGGGTACCTCTCTCTCAGCCTGGGCAGGGCTCTGGGGAGAAAAGGGAGAGAGGCGGGATCCTCTAGAGGACTCTGAAAGGCAGATTAAGCTCTCATCAGGACTCCTGGAGCCTGAAACACAGTATCATGGATAACAGCCAGACTATCAGGTGTTTGTATCCTGGCTGCTCCACGGGCTACGGGATGAAGGGCAAGTTACATAACATCTTTTAAGTCTCAGTACCCCTGGCTACAAAATGGGGATGACAGTAATAATGAAAATTCCTACTCTGTAGCTTTCTTATTTATTAAATAATAATGGAGCAAATATAAATATATGTACACATGAGTTCAGTTCAGTCGCTCAGTCGTGTCCGACTCTTTGTGACCCCATGAACCACAGCATGCCAGGCCCCCCTGTCCATCACTAACTCCTATATCTAAAATGTAAAAAGCACTCCGGCTTTATTAAGCCATGCATGCAGAGCACTGGACTGTGTGCCTGATAGGTAACAAGTGCCCAGTTACAGGTAACTGGTATTAACTATATCCACTGTATGTACATGTGTTCCCTAGTGGACAACAGCACCCACCTTGGGCCTCTGTTCTTGGGTTCTGCTGTAGACTTTGTTTCTTTAGGATCAAGGCCTCTGGACTCTGGGGAGTCCATACGACTAGTTAAAAGACTGGGCTCTAGCACTCGGTTGCCTGGATTTGAATTCCATTTCCTTTACTTGTTTAGCTGCACCGGGTCTTGGCTGCGGCATGCAGGATCTGTAGCCGTGGCATGTGGACTCTGGTTCCCTGACCAGGGACCGAACCTGGGCCTCCTGTATTGGGAGTGCAGAGCCTTAGCCACTGGGCCACGAGGGAAGTCCCAGTCTCATTTCCTTTTGCACAAATTACTTCACTTTTCTATGCCTCAGCTTCCTCCTCTGTAAGATGAGGAAAGCAGTACCTGCCTCGCAGTATTGTGAGGATGATGTAGGTAAAGCTCTGAGCACAGCCGCTGCAAGTAATGTCAGCTGCTGTTGTTTTTTAGCAATGGAGGCAGTCCTTGTGGTTCATGCTCAGGAACCAGAGTTTCTTAGCAAGGGAATTACACCGCATACAGCTGTATGTGAGCCGTAAATGGCACTTGCAGTCGAACTTACCCGGTGCAAGGAACACAGGAGGACTAGCGTCCTGGTCTCTTCCCTGTCACTGCTGTGCATGGCTTGTTTTTCAATCAGTCCAGAAACCCCTGCCCTTCCTATTTCCTCAAGTCGGAAGAAAGTGCCATGAAATGGTGAAGGTACAGCGCCTGAAAGGTTAAATGCCTTCTCTGCAGAGAAGACTTCTTTTGTTCTGATTTTTAGAGAAACTGTGCGAGAGGAGGGAGTGTTCTGAAGTTGCTGTTCTCTGTCCTCCTGCCCCAGCCCTTGGAACCCTTTGCTTTCTGGTGTCAGGAAGAAAACCCAGCCTGGCTTTCTGTGTGTTAACAGTCTGTGGCCCTGTTTGCTGGATAGCAAGGGTGGAGGCTGGACCAGTTGGTACCAGGCCCAGTGTCTTGAACGCTGATGCCACTTGACTCCCAGCAGCAGGGCTGGAGCGTGCAGCTTTGTCCACTGTATTAAGCGTCCCCGCCTGGGGGCAGGGGCTGGTGACAGCACCATCCCGGGATGATCCTAATGGCTGACCAGAACTTCCTGTGTGAGCCTTTTTTTGCTACATGGTCTGTGTTCCCTCCCCCCACAGGAAGAAGTCCACATTTTGCCACTGACCCCGAACGACTTGTGGGCCTTCTTGCTTCCGAGGTTGGAGACAAGCCTACCTCACCTGTTGGCCTTGGTTTCTGTGTCTGTAATAAATGCAGATGATCGTATCCACCTTACAAGTTTACGGTAAGGATTAAATGAGATCATGATGTTTAGCAAGGAGCCAGCACAGACCAGGTGCTTGGTATGTTTGTCGGTTTTGCCTTGCTTGTTAATTCTGGGGGTCATTCTGTCTAGGAAGCTGGGATGAACCAGCTGGAATGGAGTCTGGAGACCAGCCTCTGGTCTCATAGCCTGCGGTCCTTCAGTCATCAGATTCAGGCCAGATGAATGTCTAGGCAGAGAGGATGCCCCCAGGAGCAATCAGCTGGAGACAGCCCTCATTCCCCAGTGCTTTGTTATCTGCCACCCCCCCCCCCCGCCCCCACCAGCCTCTCTTGCCCAAGCATACTTTGAGTTAGCAAATAGTGTTCAAGCTGGAAGTGCCTGACCCATCCCTGGGAGTGTGGCAATCTAGATTCCTGCTCCTGTCTCCTGTGGCTTAGAGCCGAGCACCTTCAGTGTACTTGGACACACTGGCTGGATCCCATCAGACAGGAATCCTGAATCAGCCTCACCTTTAAGGCCCTTGGTTGAGCACCTTCCTTGACAGGGCCTGAGCAGGGGCTATGCTCCTTGGTTTCTAGGAGCTAAAGGGCTAGTGGGGTGGGAGGCAGGGAAGGGCTACAAGCCAGAGACCAGGAGTACCATATCCATCACTCAGTGTCCAGCGTGTGTCATCAGGGTTTGGGGGAAAGGGGTCCTTGGCAGCAGGAGGTTCAGGTAGTCCTGGGGGACGTGGGGACTTTTGCTGGATAAGATTTAGGTGAAAGGGAGGGTAGGGCCAGGGGAGGTGACTGGAACATGATGGCTGCTTTGAAAATAAAAACAGGCCCAGTGCTGATGAATATCCCATGTCCCGTGATCTGGGGCCTGGTGTTCTTCCCGCCACACCTGACTGGGAAGGGGCTAAAAGGAGAGGCGGGCGCATATAGAAATCCCGTCTCCCGCAGTGGTGTTCTGTGGACATTACATTTTTGTGCATAGTTCCTGCCTGCTGACTGTCACGGCTCAGCCTCCTCCAGGAACCCTGGAGAGCACGGAGCGTGGACGCCTGCCCCACCTCAGGGTGCTCTGCCTGCGGTGGGTTATTTCCCAATCCCCAGCCCCTTCACCGTGGGGCTTGCACAGGGGGAGCTCGGTGGTGGTGGGTGGGCAGGCTTTAGTCTCACTGACATTGTTCTGGGGGAGGTGAGGTTGTAATGCATGGAGGCACACTCTCTTCAGGGGTGGGCAAACTCGGGCTCTTTAGCAGCAACAGAAAAACCGCCTCTTTCTTGGAGCCCCTCAACCCTGCTTACTGCTAAGGGGACTGTTTTGAAGAACACATCCCTAGGGCTGAGTCCAGCCCAGAGCTCCCTCTGGTAAATGGGGCTGGTCACAGACCCTAGGACCAGTTCCGTTCAGTTCAGTTGCTCAGTCATGTCTGACTCTTTGTGACCCCATGAACCACAGCACACCAGGCCTCCCTGTCCATCACCAACTCCTGGAGTTTACCCAAACCCATGTCCATTGAATCGGTGATGCCATCCAACCATCTCATCCTCTGTCGTCCCCTTCTCCTCCTGCCCTCAATCTTTCCCAGCATCAGGGTGTTTTCAAATGAGTCAGCTCTTCGCATCAGCTGGCCAAAATATTGGAGCTTCAGCTTCAACATCAGGGCTGAAAGGGCCTCGGAGACCATTGAATTTGAGATCTGAGGAGTGGGACCCAGCACCATGGTCTAACTCCAGGGCCCAGGGCTCTCTGCTCCTTAGTAGGTCTGCCCAGACCTCCATGTCCTGGTCTCTTTCCTGTATCTGTCACCTTCTGAGGGAGGTCAAGCTCGGTGGGTGGGGGGGTGTGTGTGACAAGGATGTGTATGGCTGGGGAGAGCCGCCTGGTCCAGCTGGCTGGCAGAGTGCAAGTGCGCTGGAGGGAGGCTGGTCAGGTTTCGCTTTGCAGGGGCTGTAGGGAGCAGGGGGAGGGGACTCCCCAGCGGCCTGAATGTGCCGTGCTCCCCGTTCTCCTGTGTTCCTCTCCCCCACACACCACTACCCCGCCTTGTAGGGAAGTGTTCATTGTGGCCCAAGTAGAGAAAGAATTTAGCTACTCTGCCAGGAACAGAGTCCAGCTCTGGGAGGGAGGAGGGGAGAGGTCAGTTCTGCCCCCAGACGGGTTGGTTGCTCGGATCAGTTTCAGGTGACCGCTGACCCTTGGCGCTCTGTTGTACTCGAGCAGTATGTAGGCAGGTAAAGGATGGGGTAAGTGTAGCTGGGGCACCCTTTTCCGCCTGGTTCCCCTTGGCTCTCGTTGGTGGAGGGCTAGGACTCCCCCACCAGTGCCATGCGGCGTTGTCGGTGGGCACCTGTCCCTGGTGAGCACCCCACCTGGGGCCAGGGGGCAGGTGTGAGATCACGTAGCCGTACAGTTGTAAAGAACTTCAGACAGCATCTAGACTAGCGCTCATTTTACAGTGTGGAAACAGTCCCAGAGAGGTAGTTCAGGCTACACAGCTGGAAAAGTTGCTGAAACTGAACTACACTGTCCAGGCTCCTAGTTCGGAGCACTTTCTAGAATTCAGGAATGGTCTGAACTTTCCAGTCAACTGTTTTTACCTGTGTTAACATATTTCTCTGAAACTCCCCTTTCATCCTTGTGAAATAGGACTGTTAAATAATTTGTGGGATTGTGCAAATGGTATGAATGGAGAAGGTACATCCGGTACATGCAGACACCTCCTGGACAGTTAGCAAGTGTCGGCCACTGTGATTATTTTCCGTGGCTGGGAACCACACTGTCCCCTAACTGGAAATGTTTACCCCAGCCTCCATTTCCCTTCGCAGCCTCCAGCACCAGGCGTGTCTGCCCAGTGACCTCTCCTCACCTGCTGGGGCCAGCACCTGGGGAGGCATTTACATTCTTGGCATTCTTCTTGCCTTTGGGGGGCCCCTGCAGGAGCCACGTGGGTGAGGGTGGAAGCCGAGCGGAGACGCCGCGTCGGTCCCCTTGCGACCTCTGCTGCTCCTGTTGGGAATGAGAGGCCCCCTCCCATGTTTCTCCGCGAGGAAGCCCGGTGCTGCAGGAACCTGCGCGTCCCAGCTCTCACACTGTGCTTTGACGGTGGTATTCCTCTAAGTTTCCTCGCCTGTAAGTGGGTACCCTCTCATCGAGCCAGTTGGAAGACTCAAACGCTTGGAAGGGTTCCTGGCATGTAGCAGACCTCAGTGTTAGCTGCTGTTGGTCATTGCAGATGAGGAAACTGAGGCTTAGGGAGGTCAGTGAACAAGGTCCCATAGTTATAGTGAGGTGCTGAGTTGGCAGGCGAACTCATGTCAAGCTGACTGTCAAACCTTGGCCACCCTGGAGAACCCACTGGGTTTGGGGATGTCGGGGTTCAGAGAGCTGCCAGCTGACAGAGAGTGACTGTCTCGGTGCGGAGGGCGCTTGGTCAAGGTGGTCCCGGGGGACCTTGGGTCGCTGCAGTTTGCAGGAGGGGCGTCTGATCCGCAGGCCCGGGCGCCTGGCGTTAGGTGTGTGTCCGTTTTTCCCGCCCCCGTGGGGTTGCCAGGTGACTCTGGGAGACGTGCTCGGCTTAGAGGGGCCCAGGTGAGGGTCGCCGGCCCGCCGCCGCGTGGCTGCGTTGGCCGGGGGAGGTGGGCGGGCTCTGGGCCCCGGGTCCCTTACCCTCCCCTCCCCGGGCCTCCCCCGCACTTGCGTGTCTCAGAGCCGGGCCGGGGCTCTCAGACGCGCAACAAAAGCGGCTTCCCTCCGCGGGGCTGCCACCTGTTGGGTTTTCACACGTCGGGGAATAGGGGGAGGGAGCCGCTGCCCTTTTCCCAGTGTCTGCGGCCGCCCCCCGCCCGGGGACTGGGGGTCTCTGTGCCGCCCAGTGTGGCGGGGCCCAGGGGCGGGGCGGGGGCCTCAGCAGCTGGAAGGGGCCCGAGCGGGCAGGGCCGGGGCGGCAGCCAGGGGGAGTTTGACGGATTACTCTGCGGCCGAGAGGTCTCTCCCTAATCCCCCTTTGTGTCCCGGCCCGCAGCCCCGCGCTCGCTCTGACAGGCTGCTAAGCAGAAGGCTTCCCGTCCGAGCGAAGAAAAGGCGGCGCAGCAGGGCGGACGCTAAATCCCCGGCCCTGGGCCCCGGGGAGGCCGGGGCTGGGCTGCAGGCTGGTGGGGGAGGGCCTTCTCTCTGCCGCAGCCCCAGGCCTCCCGCTCTCCGGCTGCATTCCGAGTGGGGCTCGCGCACGCCTTGGGGAGCCTGGGGGGTCGTGGGCCTTGGCTTCTTATGCAGATCGCTGTTGCCGGTGGTCGGGCGGGGGTGGGGAAGCAGACCCTTGCTTCCTTGGAAGTACACTTGAGCCGGGAGAATGCAGGCTGAACTTGGGCTGGAAGGCGTGGGAGCTGCTTGGAACCTTGTCCGGCGTCCCCTTCTCCCTGGCTGCCCAGGCAGGCGGAATTCCCACAGCCCAGCGGCCCAGGCAGGGGGGTCTGTCATGGTGGAGAGCTTGCCACCTCACAGGCGTGTTCATCTCCCATCACCTGTCTGGCCAGCACAAGCTTTCTGGGGTGTCCTTAGGCTCCTGTGGAGCTGCTGCAAGAACAGAGCTCATTTTGGGGGTGCAGGGGGGCTAGGTGTTACGAGGTAGGACCAAGGACACTGGCCCCCTGGGACTCAGGCAAGGGGCTGGGTGACCCCCCCCCCCCCGCAAGGAGGTTTTGGAGCTTCCAGAGCTATTCTCTTCCCCGGACCCTAGAGGATCTGAGAGACAGCAACTTTGGGGTGCGGCTCTGGGGTCCAGGCTGGTGTGGAGGAAACCGGGGTCCCCTGTCCCCTGCAGCCTCGGGGCACTACCTGTGGGGTCCTCCGCACCTGCAGCCCCGGCCTGGGCTGGGGGTCTTAGGGAGCTTGGCCCCGAGTGACCCCACCCCTTTCTGCCCCCGAGTCAGTGTTCCTCGAGGGGCCTACCCCTCCCTGTTTCCTTCTCTGCGGGGAGGGGCTCCCTGGCCTCGTGAGAAAGACCGTGGCCTGTGTGAGCTTTCAGGGAGGGTGCGGGGCGCGGGGCTCCAGGGTCAGGCCGGGGCTGGGGCCCTTTGATGCCTGGGCGGGTGTGGGGGCTCGCGCCCGCATAAAGAGGCCACAGAGCTGCCCCCAGCCCGCTCCCTCGGCCTCTGTCGCAGGGGCCGCCTGCTCTCCTAGCCCCACCTCGCCGGAGGGGTGGCAGGAGCCCCTTTGAACGGCCTCAAAGGCCTCTTTATGCGTCCCTTGACACTCCCTTCCTGCAGGGGCCTTTGCCCGGCCTCCTCCAGCTCTGTGAGTTTGGAGAAAAAGTTCAGGCCGAGGCTCGCTCCTGTTGCTCAGTTGCACTTCCCCTACTCCCTGCTGCGGTCTGACCTGAGATGGGGCGAGGGGGACAGGGCCGCCTCCAGCCAGGAACGTCTGCCCTCCACTCAGCACCCCTGGCTGAGCCCTCAGGAGCCGCCCTCGGGGGTTGGACTGGTGTCTCCTTGGGGCGTCTGGGTGTGGGGGCAGCACTTTGGTCCCTTCTACCCCCCACCCCGGGCTGGTGTCAGTGAGTTACTCTAGATAAACGTTTCCCAGCCCCTTCTCATGCTGGAGTGGGTGCTGGAAAGCTGCAGCAGAGCCTATAGTCCGCTCTGGGGGTGTTGCACCTGGAGTTTTTGGGTATCTGGAGCTGGGCAGGTAGAATGCAGGTTCACCCTCCATCTCTCTGAGCTTGAGCTCTGCTCCCCAAGAGGGGAGGGAAGATGGCCCAGGGCAGAGCTCCCTAAGGCTTTCCAGAAATCTTGGGGTTCCTTCAGCTTCCTTGCTGTCCCGTCATCCGAGATCTGGAAAGAGAGGGGGAAATAGTTGGACCTCGAGAGGGACTTGCCCTCCTAGAGGTCTCTGTTCCTGTCCACAGTGTCAGCCCCCTTTCCCTCGTCTTCCCACCCCCTCCCCACCAGGTGAGCCCCTCTGGTTGGGCTCCAGGAGCCATGGGGAGGAGGATCTGAGTCTGAAGCATCTCTAGAGCTGGAGGGTGGAGGCGCGGAGTGGATGCTGCTGCCCTGCCTGTGTCCCTGAGGATGCAGGGGGCTCCAACAGTGGGAGTTGTCAGTTTCAAGCTTTAGGGAGAGGTGTTCCCTGGGATGCAGATGGGAGTGAGAGGCAGGAAGGTGGGGACAGACCGCTGCCTGGTCCCTTGTCTGTCTGAGCCTGGGCCCTGGGCTCCTGTGTCTAGAAGGCCCTGGAAGGACACTGGTGACTCGAGTTGGTGCTGTGGGGGTCATCCTCTAGTTTCCTCCTCCTGAGGGCTGGAGTGGGGTGAAACGGGAGGCCGGGGCACTGCGGAATGGTAAGGAAAAGAAAGGGGGGCTTTGGAGGGGAGGGTGTTCTCATGGGCTGGGCGTCTCTCGGGCAGTTCCGGGCTGGGGAGACTCTGGGGTGGCAGGAGGGAGGGAGGCTGGGCTCAGCACCCTGAGAGCAGGGCTGTGCAGAGCAGGCTGGGCCCACCCACCTCCTCCAGGGATCCCTCAGCTGGCCCAGGCCCTGGTCCTGGATACAGCGCCTCTGGAGGGTGGAGAGAGGAGCCGGGCCTGGGAAGGATTTCGTCCTCCTGGACCGAAGGAAGGGAGGGAGGTGGGGGGCGGGTGCTTGATGGTGCTGGAGAGCTGCAATTTATTCTAAACAACCGGGGCAAACCAGGGTTTGGGCATGGGAGCCGGATGTGGGTAAGGCTGGGTCTGATAAAGTCTCTGTTTGCCCAGGGAGGACCTGGTCCCTTAACGCCCAGGGCAGGGGAGTCCCCAGGGTGGGGAATGGAAGGGGCTGGAGGCCTTGAGACCCGAACTCTTCCCTGCAGGTCACAGCACAGCCCCTGCTCTCCCCCTGGGGCTGCCATGGCACTGCAGGACCGCACCCCAGCTAAGGGTGTTGTCTGGTCCCCCAGCCCGCTTTCGAGACCACGCGGGGCGGCGTTTTACGCGTCTCCCATGCCACCCCGTGGCAGTCCATGGCTCTCTGATAGTCTGGGTCTGAGTGGATCTTGGAGGGGGAGGCTGCTGGTTGTCCAGCCTGAGTGAAGCCCCTTTCTTCCTGGGCTACAAGCTGCACAACCCCAGCAGGCAGTGACGGGATGGACACTTCTTAGCCAGGGCTGACTGCGTCTGATTTCTCTGTGGCGCAGCGCAGACAGCACCTGCACCACGCTTTGTAAGGCACAGGCCCTGTGGGGCCTCGAGATGTTAGATAAGGAAGCAGAAGCACCAAGTTAGGAGATGTTGAGATGGGAATAGGGCCCCGAGGGCGGAGGGTGCTCCGGGAGTGCTCTCGGGCGGGGGCGGGCTGGAGCCAGGCTCTCAGCAGGGAACTTGCATGGCAGTAGTACTTTTCTGCAGGGTTTGTGGCAGTGAATGGGGGGGTGGGGCGCTCCAGGCTCAAGGGGCGTGAGGCTCTGTCCCCCCGTCCACCCACCGTGGGACGACAGGTGAGGGGACTGGGCCCCCCTCTGCCTTCTCTGCGCAGCTGACTGGTTTTCCGTCTCTTGTGGTCACTTGTAAACAGATTGGACTGCAGGGGGTGCCGTGGTCAGGAAGCAAGACCTAGAGGCCCACCGCCCAAGGGGTTGGAGACCAGGGTGGGTGCTTCCCTGCTGGGATCTCTGAGCAGAAGCCCCGACGGGAAGGGCTGTGGGGATTTCTGGGCCAAGAGCAGAGCCGCCCTGGGGTCACTGGTGTCATCACAGCGGCTGCCAGGTGGCGAGGCTGGGGCCTGGGACCAGTCCCCGGTCCCCGGATAGTCGGGCAGCTCACGTGGGATGCTTCTTCCCCGTGGCCTCTGAGCGTGGAGAGGAACTCAGGAGGGGTTTTCAGGCTGAGGTTCTTCCAGGCGAGTGCTTTTCAAATGGTTTCAGTGACAGGCTCAAACCCAACCCAAGAAGCCACAGCCTTCCCCTTGTCCTCCTCCTTGGGGCGGCAGCTTGGTGCAGCTTGGCTTGTGGCCAGGCAGTGTGAAATAGGAAGTGTGACTCTTAACAAAGGGGAATTGAACAGCCCAGCTTTGGGAGGTGGAGAGAGAAAAACAAACTGGGCCTCGCAGAGGGTCTCCAGGGGCACCTTGATAGCAGTTCCCCGGGGAACTGGGGATTCAGCTGGTTTGACCTTTTTCTCCCCCTCCCTTCTATACTAGGAAACAAGGGCAGTTGCAAGGGTATTTCCAAACAGAGAATTACTAACATCTAGTAGCCTCTGGAGTGTACTGAGGTTTAAAAACCATGTTTACCTTATTAATTAGGTCAACCTCAGGCTAATGTGAACATGCACTTCCTGCCTGCACGGCAGGGGGTGGCTCCTGGGTGGCAGGGCCGTGCCACCAGCCCGGGACGGAGCCAGATTCAGAGTTCAGAGCGAGTCCGAGCTTGGGTTCCTGGAACTTACTGCTCTGTGTGTGACTGTCCCTGCCCTTTTAGGATCTGAGCGTTGACATCTGTGCCCGCCGAGGCCCCCCATGATGATAGGCGGTTAGTATGGCTGAGAAACCAGACCTGCAGAGAGGGCCCGCAGAAGTGGGTTTCCGGCTGAGTCCTTGGCGGTCGGTGGCAGCCAGGAGGAGAGGCCTCAGTGTCTGCAGCGAGGCAGAGACGGAGCCGTTCTGGAGCGCGTGAACGGGCCGGAGCCCCACCCGCCCATCCGGCATGGTCCAGAGGCTGTGGGCAAGCCGCCTGCTGCGGCATCGGAAGGCCCAGCTCCTGCTGGTCAACCTGCTGACCTTCGGCCTGGAGGTGTGCCTGGCGGCAGGCATCACCTACGTGCCGCCCCTGCTGCTGGAAGTGGGGGTGGAGGAGAAGTTCATGACCATGGTGCTGGGTGAGTCACCGTGTCCTCGTCCCCTCCTGCTCCAGAGACCTCCCAGGGAAGGAAGGCACCAGTGCCTCTGCCCAGAAGGTGCCTGCTGCCCCTGAACCAGGGGGTCAGCGCTGCTGAGCAGAGGGCTGACCCTGCGCCGAGGGGCTGCAAGAGAAAGAGGAGGACAGGGCCGTTCCCTGGTTACCTCTATGTCCCAGGTCCCTACACACGTACAGCCCCCGGAGACATGGAGAAACTGCCCTTTGCACTTCAAACCTGTGGCCTCATCCAACTCCTGCAGTAACGCTTTGAGGTTACCCATTCCACAGAGAAGATGGTGGAGGCTAATGAGAGGTTAGGTGACTTAGCCCGGCTGTGCTGCTAACTTCGACACTGATAAGTTGGGTTGGGGTTCTCCCCGCTCCGCCTCAAGGGCTCTTTGTGGCCCCCAGGGCAGGGGCTGGGCTCCTGACTGGAGACGAATTCTGCAGAAGCCACAGAGGCAAATGGTCACCATCATTTGGTGGTGACCAAGCAAACGGTCACTTCCTTCACTCCCAGAAAGAGGGGTCTGTCAGGATGGCAGGGTCGGGGTCAGCCTGCCTGTTGAAACCCCGCCTCCCGCCCTCCCTGGCTCCGTGCCCATGCAGCTTATCACTGACCAGCTGCTCCATGCCTCAGTTTCCCCGTCTTAACATGGGGCGTTAGTGATCCCAGTTGTGAGGAGTGCATCGGGGTCCTGTGAAGTGGTCAGCACAGCACCAGTACAGAGCGGGCCCTGCATGCGATGTGGTCACCGCGTCCCTCCTTCTCGAGGAGGATGGGCCCCGTCTGAGCCCTGGCCCTCTGCTCACACTCCTCGCCCTTCTTGCAGGCATTGGTCCCGTGCTGGGTCTGGTCTCGGTCCCACTGCTTGGCTCGGCCAGTGACCACTGGCGCGGGCGCTATGGCCGCCGGAGGCCCTTCATCTGGGCCCTGTCCCTGGGCGTCCTGCTGAGCCTCTTCCTCATCCCGAGGGCCAGCCGACTGGCGGGGCTGCTGTGCCCGGACACCAGGCCGCTGGAGCTGGCGCTGCTGATCCTGGGTGTGGGGCTGCTGGCCTTCTGCGGGCAGCTGTGCTTCACGCCCCTGGAGGCCCTGCTCTCCGACCTCTTCCGGGACCCAGACAACTGTCGCCAGGCCTTCTCCGTCTACGCCTTCATGATCGGCCTGGGCGGCTGCCTGGGCTACCTCCTGCCTGCCATCGACTGGGACGCCAGCGCCCTGGCGCCCTACCTGGGCACCCAGGAGGAGTGCCTCTTTGGCCTGCTCGCACTCATCTTCCTCACCTGCGTGGCGGCCACGGTGTTTGTGGCCGAGGAGGCAGCCCTGGGCCCCGCCGAGCCTGTGGAAGGGCTCTCCGCCCCCTCGGTGCCGCCCTGCTGCCCTTGCCGTGCCCGCCTGGCCCTGCGGAGCCTGGGTGCCCTCTGTCCTCGGCTGCGCCGGCTCTGTTGCCGCATGCCCCGCGCCCTGCGTCAGCTCTTCGTGGCAGAGCTGTGCAGCTGGATGGCGTTCATGACGTTCACATTGTTTTACACGGACTTTGTGGGCGAGGGGCTGTACCAGGGCGTGCCTGGGGCCGAGCCAGGCACGGAGGCCCGCAGACACTATGACGAAGGTAAGGCCGTGGCTGTGCCCGGGGGGCTGCTGTGGGAGCTGCCCTCTGGTGGGTGTTCGGGCATGGGGAGACACCCACAGCCTGGGCGTCTGGGCCCCGATTTCCCCGTCTGGCAAATGGGCCAGTGTGCAGGCTGCGTGTGCAGTTGCTCAGGAGAAGAGTGGCAGGTTGGCTGCAACCTCAGTGGAGCCTCAGGCTGTTTGTAAAGATTTGATCAGTCATTGCCCCAACCTGGTGGAAGGAGAGGCTGAGCTTATTTCAGGTCTGGAGGCTGGGCCGAGGTCTGCCTGGCCCCACGTTCTGTGTGCCCTCTGCTCCGCTGCAGCCGTGGCCAGCCCCTTCTAGCTCAGGCATCCCAAACTCTTCCTTTGGCGCCTCTGGCGGGGCTGTCTGGGCCCCCTCCTGGAAGCTGAGCGCTCCGAGCCCTTACAGCGGCTTCCTCGGCCCTTGGCCAGTGGCTGTGATCATTTTCCCTACCCTGGACTCCCGCTGCTCGGGGTGGGTGCGAGGTGCTGGGTGCGGGTTTGGCAATAGCAGGTCTTGGGCTCAGGCGCCGGTGCTCCTGATTCCGAGTGCTCTCGCCCCACCCCGTCTCATGGCCTCTCCCCCTCCACCCCCAGGCGTCCGGATGGGCAGCCTGGGGCTGTTCCTGCAGTGTGCCATCTCCCTGCTCTTCTCCCTGGTCATGGACCGGCTGGTGCAGCGGTTCGGCACCCGGGCAGTCTACCTGGCCAGCGTGGTGGCCTTCCCCGTGGCGGCCGGCGCCACGTGCCTGTCCCGCAGTGTGGCGGTGGTGACTGCCTCGGCTGCCCTCACGGGCGTCACCTTCTCTGCCCTGCAGATCCTGCCCTACACGCTTGCCTCCCTCTACCACCGCGAGAAGCAGGTACTCAGCGGAGCCGGGGGCAGGGAGGGGTGGCCGACCGGTCCAGGGCCAGGGTCTGGCCAGAGAAGCTGGAGGAGGAATTCTTTGACAGGAGAGGAAGCCTGTTGTGGTCCCAGGGTCAGAGACTTGGGCTGCGGAAGGAGGGTGTAGATTAGATTCTGGGAATGACTTCCTGATGTCAGGATTATAAAGCCTTTAAAGTGGATGATTGCAGGAAATGTGAAATCCTCTGGAAATCCTGAAGAAGCAGGCTAGCTGAAGTCCTCAGTCTGGGCTGTGGTGTTCTGTGCAGAAGCAGGGGGCTGGATCAGATGACCTCTGGGGCATCTAGTTTTCACAGCCTGTGAGTGGGAAAGACCTGGTGTGGGCCTTGTTCAGGGAGGGACCTGATGACTGACCTTGCTCTCATCTCAGACGGGGAAGGCTCCCAACTCCTCCCTCCCCTCTTTCAGTTTATCTTCCTTTTCTGTCTCTAGTCTCTCTTTTCCTGCCTCCTTCCTTTGCCTGTTCCCCTTCCCCCGCCCCCACAGGAGCCTGGAGCCTGAAAGCCCCTGCTGCTGCTGGCCTGGGCGCTGTGTAAGTCGGGGGCCTCCTTCCTGCTTAGCCCCCTCTAAGCAGCCCCTCCAGGGGCCTCCTCCTGTGGGAACCTTCTGACCCAGACTGTGGTCACCTTTGTTGCCTCCACCAGCCTCACTGGGCTGCAGCCCTGTTGCAGAGTTCTGTCCAGGGGTGTCCCAAGAAAAAAGAGACTCAGCCTGCCTTCATAGGGCTTCCAGACTGTAGCGGAGACATGTTCTGCCCCTTGCAGGACACGAGGGAGGTGGCAGAGAAACACCTAGCTGGGGGGCGTGTTAACCGAATTGGTAGCAGCAGAGGTGGGCGTTGGGTGGGGGAACCTGACCCCCGCGGCCCCTATGGGCGCGCTGATGACCTTTATCATCCTCCAGTCTCTCCTGCGCTGACTGGGGGCTCAGGCTGGTGTCCTGAGGCCAGGCTTGCACACGTGCCAGGGAATGTTCCCCTTGACTGGGGAGCACGTCTGTCCCCAGGGCAGGAAAGCCGGCCAGGGCGGGGTCCCAGACACAGTTGGCCCCGTGCTGCCTGCCCGCCTCCTCCACCTCCTGGCCGCACACGAGCCTTGGCTCTAGCTCATCCGCAGGCTCCCGGCTCTGATGCAGCCGACCCTGAGAACTCGGTGTTCAGGCACGCGTGGGCCTGGGGTGGGCCTGGGGTCGGCGGTCAGACGGGACTTGTCCTCAGATGGGAGGCTCTGGGGCGTCGCAGGCAGGGCAGGAGTAGTCCGTGCTCGTCCCTGCAGACGGTGAGACAGACAGGACGGCTCCCACAGGAGCGCAGCCGGCCGTGCGAGCCACGGTGGGCGCCCCTCGCCTCTTCAGGCTGAGTCTGAGGACCCTGCCTGCCCCGGGCTGGGGCCACAGACCTCACAGTAGGGCAGCCGTTGCAGCCTGGGCCTGAGCACCGCGTTGCGCTCATCTCTGGGGGTCGACGGGTTTCCAGTGGCAGGTGGCGGGGGCCGCGAGGAGGCTGGGAGAGAGTGTGCGGTTCGTGGCGGCGGGGCCCTCACCTGTGTTCCTCCGCCCCGTGTCTCTCTGCCCGCCTGTCTTCCTTCTGCTGTCTTTCCTTTTACCTTGGGGCTCAGTTCTCTTCCGAACTGGCAGTACTGAGTTCGTCTGTCATGCTGATTGGACTTCAACATATGGTTTCAGGGGTCCTCTTCTGGGCTCCTGGCCCCCACTCCCGAGAAGACTCCTCGCCGGAGACGCAGACCACGCAGGGGTCTGCCCAGTTTTCTGCCCTGCTCCCGATTTTCATTGAGACCCAATGCCTGGCTTCCTCTCGGCCCTAAGATGAAGGCCAGGGCCGGTTCTCGCGGCTGGGAAACCCCGTATCTGGGTGCTGACCTGTCCCGGTTTGTCCCCCCCTCCCCCAGGTTTTCCTGCCCAAGTACCGAGACGACGGAGGCGGTGCCAGCGAGGACGGCGTGATGACCAGCTTCCTGCCGGGCCCCAAGGCCGCGGCTCCCTTCCCGCATGGACACGGGGGGCCTGGCAGCCTGCTGGCAGCCCCGCCCGCTCTCTGCGGGGCCTCTGCCTGCGACGGCTCCGTGCGCACAGCGGGGGCTGAGGCGCCGGAGGCCAGGGCAGTCCCGGGCCGCGGCATCTGCCTGGACCTGGCCATCCTGGACAGCGCCTTCCTGCTGTCTCAGGTGGCCCCGTCTCTGTTCATGGGCTTCATCGTTCAGCTCAGCCAGTCCGTCACTGCCTACATGGTCTCGGCGGCAGGCCTGGGTCTGGTTGCCATTTACTTTGTCACGCAGGTAGTATTTGACAAGAATGACTTGGCCAAATACTCTGTGTAGGGTGCTCGCCAGGCATGGAGGGCTGAGGGCCTACCTCCCGGGTCCCAGGCTCTCCGTGCTCAGCCTCCTGGGGTCGGGGCTGGCCTTGCCCTTTCTGCTGCTGCCGAAGTGGTTGGTGTGGCTCTCCGCTGCCTCCCGGTGGCAGCGAGGTGCTTCTTCTCTCCCACCTCTTTCCCTCCCAGCCCTAAGCAGATCTTTAGGGCCGGCTGGCTTGGTAGCTCTTCAGAGGGCTTCAGTCTGGGCTTCTTTAAGGGGAGACGGGCAGGGCATTTAAGTAAGTCCATGCACTGGAATGCAGGACTCTGCCGGGGGATCACCCAGGCTCAGGATGGACAGCTAGTGTCCTGGTCAAGATACACCCAGTGAAGGGACTGGGGTAAATCCCAAATTTGAGTAAATGCAGCCACCTGTTCTGGCACCAAGGGCCTTTATCCGGTAGGCTCTCCCATTGTCGCTCCTGCATGGGTGTTTCTGCTGTGACACTCTGCAGGATTTGCAGGTATGAAAAGGACTTGGGGGAGCACAATCCTGAGAGGTGAAGGCAAGCTGCCCTGCCCTCCAGCACCCCTTCTGCTATTTCCCCTCCCCTACATTTTATTAGGACTTTGCTTGTTGGCCCTTGTGGTGCCATCACAGGGACCCCAGTTTTTAAATATTTAACTTATTTATTTAAGTAGAGGGGGAATCAAGGTGTCTAGGAGTTGGGTAGGATGAGATCCTCAGCGACTAGGTCCCCTGAGATGGTTGGTTATTGGGCTGAGGGTTGCCAGAATCTCCTTCTCCTGGAGGGATTGGTCTAGCCCCCAAACTGCCTAATCCTGAGCTTGCAAGCTCTGCTCACCCCAACTGATAACCCCAGCTCCTGGTACCCGAGGTGGGGAGGGCTGGGGAACATGAAGGGTGGGCCTCCAGGTCTCAGCCGCCTCCCTAGCGCCCCCCACCCCATGACCCTGCCAGCCCCCAGACCCCCCACCCCCTCTAGGGCTGGGCTGCCCAAGCCCATCTTTCCCCGCCGCTCCACAGCCCACTCCTTGGGGCTGTCTTGGGACCTGAAGACAGAGTGTGGCTCCTTGCGCCTTGATCCGTCTCAGCCCCCAGGGCATATCTGTGCTTAAGGACTCAAGCGCAGAAACTCAGGAGCACCCCCTGCCTGGGCTAAGGAGGTCTTATCTCTCTGGGGGTTTAAGTGCCGTTTGTAATAATGTCACGTCTTATTTATTTAGCGGAGTACATATTTTATGCTGTATGTGAGCAATCAGAGTGTAATGTTTATGGTGATGAAATTAAAGCCTATGTTTCATTGGTCTCTGTCCTTTCTGCGGGACCCGGTTTGGGCAGCGACAGGTCCCAGCATCACCAGCAGGTGGCGCCATAGACCAGCACTCGTCTGTCTTGCCTGTCGGTTGCGCTACGCAGGGACTGGGGAGACCCTCTGGGGGTGAAGGCGAGTAAGGCACAGGGAAGGGGCGCGTTTTCCTTATCACAGGGCTCACAGTGAGGCCAAGAAGATGGAGCAAGCGCCCGTTACCAGCCTTAGCAAGAGGACGCGCCTGGCAAACTTAATGGTCTTTGAAAGCTTCTTTGCTGTCTGGCGTCGCCAGATGTCCCGGCTCACCTGGTGTATTTCTTGCCATAGACATGAAATGAGCTGTTTTCCCTAAGGGCATCTGATTGAGTTTTGTGGAAAAAGGTTTTTTCCCCACAGTGACCATAATATTGGCATTGAGAGTGTTTATTATTAGGTTGATCACTGGTATTAGGCCTTTTCTGTGGACAAAGCTAGGGAAAAGATGTTTAATGTCAATACATGGTGAGTTTCCGTTGATACTGCCTATTTACGTTCAGGATTAGAGATTACATGTGTTTATACATATACATACATGCATATTTTACTTCTCTAATTTCTACCACGCTGAAACAGAGCTCAAGGCCTGGCCCAGCATGTATGTATGTGTGTGTGAGAAGCAGAAAGAGCCACCGGTCAGCCACTGATGTCAGCCTTTCTGTGCCGCCAGAAATTAGAATTTGGCCCAGAGGCATGTTCATTGTTTTTCCTGGTCCGAAGGAAATGAACTTTCTGGCTAGCCCAATACAAGTCATTTACCTCTGTGGTTAGACTTATTCCTAAGTAATGTATTCTTTTGATGCACTTGTAAATAAGATTGTTTTCTTGGGCTTCCCTTGTGGCTAAGTGGTAAAGAATCTGCCTGCCAGCGCAGGAGACACAGGTTTGATCCCTGTGGGAAGGGAAGGAAGGTCCCACATTCAAAGAGCAGCTGGGCCCGTGCACCGCAACTATTGAGCCTTTGCTCTAAGAGCCGAGGAAGTGCACTTACGAAGCCTAGAGCCTAGATAAGGCCCTCTGAAATTAGGAGAACAATCTTTTTAATATGATGTTACTTATTTATTCACTGGCTATGCTGGGCCTTTGTTGCTGCGCAGGCTTTTTCTCTAGCTGCAGTGAGCCCAGGGGCCACTCTCCAGTTGTGGTCTGCAGGCAAAAGATTGTTTTCTTAATTTCAGAGGGCCTTACTAGCACAAATTTTCAATATTGGGGACCAGCTAAGCCAGCTCACAGGCTGTGAGGCCTTGTGTTTGTAGTTCAGTTGTTTTTGAAAAATTTTTATTTATATTGGATTATAGTTGATTCACAATGGTAGTTCCTCAACTTTAAACTACATCCCTCACAGAAATGCCAGCTCACTAAGAAGTACAGAAAGGGGGGAAAGAAGAAGAAAGGGGACTCTAGAAAGGAGAAGGAAACTGCAAGTAACCTCAAAGACACCACAAATAAGATTTACTCAGTCCTTTCCATGTGGGTCTCCGATGAGTACAACCTGGCCAGTGTCCTTTAAGATCATTAATTTAAATGGAAAGGAATAAGAGGTATGAATCAGGTGTACATAAATGTATCAGGTACGATGTACATAGAAAATTTCAGAACATGAAGCAAAGACGTTAACAGTTTAGAGAAAGGAAACGATTTTGTGTGGAGAGAGGAGAGTCTGGCTATCCGCACCTCCCTACCCTCATCCCTCGGCACCTGCCATCTCCCAGAGCGGGATGGAGCCTCGTGTTCCGGTTTGTGGTCTGAGCCCAGGAATCAGAGACGGGCTGGACTAGGGTTGGATGGGCACTGTCCCATCCCTTGTACCTTCACAGGTCTGTCCTTCCGGCCTGGGGTGCTTCTCCCTGTAGAAACAGGACTGGGAGGAGCAGGTGTAGGGAACATCCCTCGGTGGACAGCTTGGATCTCAGGCTGCTGCTCGTGCAGCCGGGGGAAAGAGCCCTTGGTTTCCAGGTTCAGATCCGATTACAGCAGCCTGGCAGTTTTGTCACCGTTGCCTGGAGGGTTGTGCAGAGTTGGAACTCGCTGATACCCAACACTGTCACGAGATCTCCCTGGCAACCCCGTCCCTTGACTTCAGTCTGCCCTTGACTAACGTCTGACCTCTGACAAGTCATTCCACTGTGTGTACAGTGAGGGGTTAACTGGCCATCTCTGCAGACGCAGCGCTGGACTCCCGTCCTTTGGGGCTCCGTGCCACGTGCTGCTCCCCAGGACGCTGTCTAGCACCCTACAGTGCCCAGGTTCCGTTCTCTCCTCGTCACACAACATGTCTGGTTTCCTGCGTGCTGACCTGACGCGCACCCCGGGGCTGCGGCAGTGAAGACGGCCACTGGCGGCTCAGGTCCAGCCGGGAGCAGGCACACGGGGAGGGCCCCCTGCCCCTCAGGGGGCTCTGTCCTGGGGCGGGGGTGGCCCCAGGGAAGCGAGGAGAGGGTCCGCCCGTGACAAGCCACCCGGACCCAGGGACTCCCTCACAGGCGGCCGTGACTCCCGGTGACCTGAAGAGAGCAGAGCGGTAGGAGGACCCTGGGACCCCGCTTCGCCAGGGACGCCCGAGGCCTGCTGAGAAGGGGACTTGTCCCGGGCACACTGGCACAGGGCTTTTTCTGCGCCACCCACTGGGCGGGAGGGGTACAGAGGAAGACTGCGCTATCTTTGCAGCTTGTATTATTCCAATGTAAAAAGTTTCTTTCTTTTTAATGTGGAGGACTTTTGATCCATCTCACCACCTTCTGATAGGCACCCAAAAAAATCTGTTAATCAGCCATTACTATTCACTGATAGGTGTGAGGCACCATTGTACATATAACTAAGGAGGTTATAAAGATACATCAAAGGTGGTCTTTGTTCTGTGAGTTCTGAGGCTTCTCCATGGAAAAATAAAGCATGTTCAAATGGAGTTATTTCGAATGGTGCAAGGCAGTTTGACACATGCCAACGGCACACAGGAGTACAAGGGGGATGGGGGAGAGACCACTGCCAGGAGGATGCTTTTTAAATAGGGACAGAGATTCAGTTCAGTTCAGTCACTCAGTCATGTCTGACTCTTTGCGACCCCATGAACTGCAGCACGTCAGGTCTCCCTGTCCATCACCAACTCATGTCCATTGAATCAGTGATGCCATCCAAGCATTTCATCCTTTGTCGTCCCCTTCTCCTACTCCCCTCAATCTTTCCCAGTATCAGGGTCTTTTCAAATGAGTCAGCTCTTCACATCAGGTGGCCAAAGTATTGGAGTTTCAGCTTCAACATCAGTCCTTCCAATGAACACCCAGGACTAATCTTTAGGATGGACTGGTTGTGTCTCCTTGCAGTCTAAGGGACTCTCAAGAGTCTTCTCCAACACCACAGTTCAAAAGCATTAATTCTTCAGCTCTCAGCTTTCTTTATAGTCCAATTCTCACATCCATACATGACTACTGGAAAAACCATACCCTTGACTAGATGGACCTTTGTTGGCAAAGTAATGTCTCTGCTTTTTAATATGCTGTCTAGGCTGGTCATAACTTTCCTTCCAAGGAGTAAGCATCTTTTAATTTCATGGCTGCAGTCACCATCTGCAGTGGTTTTGGAGCCCCCCCAAATAAAGTCTGCCACTGTTTCCACTGTTTCTCCATCTATTTGCCATGAAGTGATGGGACTGGATGCC